TTCTTCATGGCATGTGCACCTGGAAGAGACGCAATGTTTTTAAAGGCAGCACAGAGGCCCGGGGGGCAAATGCCACCCTGCCCCCGGCCCAGTCCGCCCCTGGTGTGTGCCAATGCAATATTCACCATAATGACGCGCCAAACAAAGATCTCTTGTAATGTGATGAAATAGCGTCCCAAGGTGAGGCAGGAGAGCTGACCTCCTGCCCACCAACCTGTGATGGCCAATTCACCACTGTCAGATCCTTGGGGGAAAAAAAAGCCTGTGCTAAGTGAAATACGTTGGCTACCATTGCTAACCTCCTCCTGAAATACTAGTTGCCTAATACTAGTCACTAATCCATTCTAACTTCACTTGATTCTTAGTTGCTGCATGTGACTTAGACATGTTGGGGGTCCTTAAATCATCTTGACAGCCAAGTTTCAGATAGCAGTTACAGATGAGGATCAGAATGGATTGGTGGAAAGACTTTATCCAGAGGATTGTTTGTACTCTGAGTTCCAATGTAGTGTTGATTTTTGCTTCCAGATATTGTCTGGCATTCCCATTTATGTGAAGCTCCTGTTGCTTTAGTGTATAAATGAATGCATATAGTTTCTTGGAGGATTTGGAACCAGGAAAATACATTTATACTTTCTTTTAAGGGTTTTGAGGCACCAGGAAATGAGTAATGCATTTACTTATGACTCCTTGTCAGCTTTAGTAGAATCTTTGAGTGAGTGTCCATTTATTGTTAGGCCCATCTGTGTTTGCTCAGGAAAGCCAGTGCTTTGGTGCCTGGGATATATGAGACATCAGAACAGTACTATGCTGATATCGGATGCTGATTTAATATTACTGTGTGTAATAATTGTACTTGTGTAAAAATGCATGGTTGACAATAATTTCTAGGATCACCTTGCTGCTAAGGATTTATTTTAGCAAATATAATGCACAGTGCCAATCCTGGCAGACCTTAGTGAACTGGAGTCTTTACCATGACATGTTCATTAAAAACATTTACATCCACACTCTCAAATTGTGGGATCGATATATCGCTCGCCTGGGCATCTCCTCTTATCTGGGCCCGATGACTCCGCTCTTTGGCAACCAGGCCTTCCCCCCAGCGTTGGCTGAGTCCATGCTGGGCCGCTGGGATAGAGCCACCCACCGGCGCCTGGCCTCTGCCCTGAGGGCCCAACACATAGACTCGGTTACGTATTCTGGCTTGTCCCGGGGAACTTGGCTGGCAGAGGGGCAATTTCGCTCCTTTGTCACCTCCTTTCCCACGACAGACTGCTTGTCTGCAGACCCCACAGCCTTCGACTCTCTACTGTTGGCCACCTCGCCTCCGGCACACTCGGTATCCCTCATTTATTCCATCCTTTCTACTATGGCCTCCCCTACTCTCCCAGCCTACACGACGGCGTGGGAATGAGAGCTGGGGGTTTCCGTAACAGAGGCAGAATGGGAGCAATCGTTTGTGCTTACATACTCCCTCTCAATTGCCAGTAGAGCCCAAGAGAAAAACTTAAAAATCCTAACCAGATGGTACAGGTGCCCGGCAGTCCTCCACCGTATCTACCCGGCTACTTCTAATGTATGTTGGCGCTGTAATGAATCTCCGGGTCACATGACACACATCTGGTGGAGCTGTCCTATGCTTCAGGAGTTCTGGCGGGGGATTTTGGGGTTCTACCTCAAAGTGACGGGTACTGCAATAGCTAAAAACCCTAAGATACTGCTGCTCTCGATGCTTCCTGGTTCCCTGAAAGCGGCGAAGAGAGGCCTCCTGCGACACTTTCTCACAGCTGCTAGGGCGGTCATCCCACGACACTGGCGAACACAGGTAGTTCCCACTCTGGTTCAGTGGGCCGTGGAGATGGACCGAATAGCCGACCTGGAGGGCCGCTTGGCGGAGGAGCGTGGAACTGGCCCTGGATATGTGCACGTCTGACCTGTCTGGATCTTATTCGGGGAATCTGCTGCCTTTACGGAGGCTGTCTCCGCTTGATTCACTGGCGTACTGAGGTATCCCTTTCCCCCCCCCCCCCTTTTCTTTTGCCTTTTTTTTTTCTCTCTCTCTTTTTATTCTTCATGCTTCTCCTTTGACTAATCTACTCACCTCATCCTGCTGCTTCCCATCTCCCACTCCTTTTCTCCCGCTGGGGGTTCTAACCAGGCTAATCGGTGCTTCCGTTCGCACCCAAGCCCAATGTCCTGATATCCTCTAGCCTCATTTACAGACTCTCATTATGATGGAAGATTGCATATGTGGTCCTACATTGGTATCCCTAGAGCTCTTAGACCGGGAACATGTGTTTCATACTTTGATAGCAGACTTAATGCATACTGTACAACTATTACCGATTTTTTTGTGTGGATGTTACCTATGTAAGCATGTCTATTGTGATCTGTAATGAAAATTGAAACACTCAAATAAAAACAGATTAAACCAAAAACATTTACATAATTCTGGTGATTTAAAATTAAATTTCATAATTATAAGACCATTTCTGCCCCCTCCAAAAATAGATGGAACAAAACAAATTTAAACAAGTACAATTCCAAACTACCAGAGTCAAGTTAATGAATCTTGTAACGTAGTATGTAAGGTTGAATAAAGACTAGGGTCCATCTAGTTCAACCTATGTATGTAGGTGTGTGTGTGTGTCTGCATTTATTAACACTTCCCATATCCCTGTAGATTCTGCGAAAGAAGAAACTCATCCAGAAGTTTCTTACATTTATGAATGTTATCAGCAGATACCACCGCCTGTGGGAGGGAATTTGAAACTTTCAATACTCTCACAGTGAAATACCCCCTACGAAGACTGAACCCTCTCTCTTTTAACCTCATGTTGTGACCCTGGGTTTCTCAATACAGTTTTCGGATTAAACAGTTTGTTTCTAATATTGTAGTCCCCATTGATGATTTTGAAGAGTGCAATAAGGTCCCCTCTTAATCGCCTCTTTTCTAAGGTGAAGAAGTTTAGATTTTGAATGCGCTCTTCATAACTCAGTCATTCTATCCCTTTAATTAATTTTGTAGCCTTTCTCTGAACTCTCTCCAGTTCCAGGATGTCCCTCCTGAGAGTTGGCGACCAGAACTGTACCGCTTCCTCAACATGGGGCCAAACCAATGATTTAGGAAGTGGCAATTGCGACAATTCCTCTTTTAATACAGACCAGTATCTTGTTAGCTTTACTGGCTGCTGCTTGGCATTGCTTACTACTGCCAAATCTGCAGTCTAAAGGACCTCCAGGTCTCTTTCCATGTCTGACTTCCCTAAAGTAGCACCCCCCAAATAGTAGTTTGCGTACATGATCTTTGCTCCCATGTGCATAGCCTTACATTTTTCAACATTAAATCGCATTTGCCATCTTGTATTCCATGCTGCAATTTTGCTAAGGTCCTGTTGTAGTGCGAATATCTCTTGTGTGGAATTTACTGCTCTGCATAGTTTAGTATAATCCCCAAAAACTAAAACTGAGGTATTTAGTCCAATCTCTTTGTCGTGGATGAATAAGATGAACTGTCCTAAGAAGGTAGGGGATTTTGGAAGATCTGATTTACTTATACATTTTAATCAATGGTGAATATATGCAGGCGTTTTACTAGTATTTCTAAAGGGTAGATGCAAAATCACCAGCACTTGCGAACGTGTTTACTCTTTCAGTTTATTGAACTCATGTCACATGCCTCATACAAGCCAACATTTTGGGTTCATGTAGGGTCCCTTCTTCAGGGATATAGTGACGGCTCGCTTAATGGTGTGATATGAAGTACTGGTGTCCTAAACAGGGGCAACACAGTAACTCCCTCTATAGGGAGGTCATCTTCCAGGGTGCTAGCCTGGGTGCCAGAATAACCATGTGTAGATATTTCAAATGACCTGCGCTCCATATACAGCGTCATCGACCTTTGTCTTATGGTGGTGATTACAGGGATGGCGCTGTGTGAAACCAAATGTTAGATGAAAAATCACCAGCACTCATGAACATGTTTACACGTTCAGTTTATTAAACTTATGTCACATGACAACGTTTCGGGCCCACATACGGTCCCTTCTTCAGGGCAACATAGTGACTGGTATTTCTCTGAACACACGGATGAAGAGAAGGATGATACTTAAGACTTCAGGTCCAAAAGCAAACCAGGGCCCTACAGAATTTTTCTAATAATGACAGCTACAATACATACAAATGCCCTACATATATGAGAAAAACATTGAGTGTACAATCCTCTTTTAACTACCATGTAATACTTCCTTTTGTACAATGGGGGTGGGGGGTTGTTCTTATGTCAGGGTCAGAACTGGGTTCACAAGTTCATTAGTGGCTAGCTCTGTGAAATAAAATGAAAATGAATACAGAACTTCAAAGTGTATGTAAATCTTAACACTGAACTTCTTTTATTTTCTCCCTTTTGGTCTGTTAAATATGCAATTGTATCATCCCAGACAATATTATCAGCCTTGTGGTATCTTTGCCCCTGATAGGTAGATTTCCTCTCTCTGTTTGTCCTGTGACCATTGACCCCATGCTGAAAGTGAGGCAAAATCTAAAATATTTAATTTGTCAACAGAAAAGAAAGACAAAATCTTCCAAAGGGGAAACGTGTTCCAGTGACAATGTCTCAAAGAAGATTTCCCTTAATTGGAGAGATTTCCTCTCCCTTTCTGTTGTGTCTAAAGGCAAAAACTGAAGGAAAAAAACTTTCCAGTGGGACACAGCAAAAAAAACACCAAAAAACTGACAGGGATTTGAACCATTCTATACTCTATACTAAATACTGTATAATTAGATATACTTTAAGCGGTAATAGAGAAAAAAGGTTTAGTAAACCATAATTCACTTCTGAAAATGTGATTTCTGACAAGTAAGAATGCCCTAACTCTGTTGCATTAAAATAGTCTTGTTGAATTAATAAGGCATAACGCATGATTAACATTTCAGACTTCCAGATTGTATGTTTGCCTGTATACATTACATTCAGCACTTAATTCTGTATATTTCAGGGAAAGGTTCACCTGGAACTAAGGCTGAGCGAAGTCATTACTGACACTGGTGTCATCTGCCATAAGCTTGCAGCACGGTAAGAAACGCCGCACTGTTATCTTTAAGTGATTATCAATATTTAAAGGATACATGTTTTTTTCTTATTGGGGTGCAAAGAGTATTAAAAAGTATATACAATTTTGTAATTAAAAATTTGCACATTGCGCAACCCTAAAAACCATTACCACTCCCCATGAATTTTATTTTTCGAAATACTTAAAAAGCAGTTTCTTGCTTATCCTTAATTTTTTTTAAAGTTACACATAAAGAATACATTTTTTTTTTAAAGTCCCCACCTATACATACACGCATGCAAACATGCGTCGGGTGCGCATACCTGCAAAGACGACGATTGCGCCCATTACGCCACACCTGTTACATATCGCCGTGAACCTCGCAGTGAGTGCAATAATTCTAGGGCCATCAATCACTGATAACGCTAAACTGATGAGCGGTAAAAGCTTTTAAAGCGTCACCTATGGTCAATTTTGGGTATGGTGTTTATTTGCGATTTCGCAAGTGCGCACAATTTTTGGTGTCTATTTACCCGACGTGACCGCGTCTTTTATTTTTTACCAAAATATTGGGTGGTAATAAATGTTTTCTAACATAATGTAAAAAAAACTTTTTTTCCCCCAAAATTTTCTGAAATATAGTAAAAAATAAAACCCCCAGTGGTGATTAAATACCACTAAAAGAAAGCTCTATCTGTCCTCAAAAAATGGTATAAAATTCATTTCAGTACAGCATTGCATGACGGAATAAATGTCAAAGTACCGCAGGGCTGAATACTGAAAAATGGCCTGGCCTGGAAGGGGGTCTAAACACCTGGTCTTCAAGCAGTTAAAATAGGCCCAGCCGCCCTAAACAACATATAGCAATCAATCGGCCGCCCGCTAGCGGGGTCCAGGGAGAGATCGTCATTCTGCCGTCTGTGTGTCAGTGAAGACACACAGGCTGTTCGGAAGCTTGGCAGCTTCTGTGTTTGGCCTGCGCGGCTGCGCCCTTTCATCTTAGGGCCCATGCCGAGGTAAACCAAATGCCAGGCCTCCTTTAGCAGTGTAACGCCAGTGCCTCCCACTTTGGGTGCACGCCAGCACAGGCTCTTGTAGGGCGGCCAATAAGAAGAGAGCTGGCATATGAAGTGATGTCATCTCCCTGCATCTCCCAAAGCTGCACGCCGCTGTAGAGAGGTAAGACAGGGCAGTCTACATGCCCATTCATTGTAATAAATAACAAATACTTGAGCTGTTGAAAGTAATAACAAATCATGCTAGTTCATGTTCCATGCTAAGAGAATGAATTGTATTTGAACATGAAATGAACATGAAATGAATATTTATCATGTCATTGCTAACTAAGGCTTGTATCCCCATAGTGGGGAAAATAGATGAGCACATGTCCATCTATTGGACATGTGCTCATCTATTTGATGAGCACATGTCCAGACCAGAACACTGTATAGTGTGGCACAGCTAAATCCAATTCTGCATAACTGGCTTTATATTATTATGATTTTTTTTAATAATATAAAGCCAGGTGTGCAGAATTGGATATAGCTGTGCCACACTATACAGTGTTCTGGTCTGGACATGTGCTCATCAAATAGATGAGCACATGTCCAGACTCCAGAACACTGTATAGTGTGGCACAGCTAAATCCAATTCTGCATAACTGGCTTTATATTATTATGATTTTTTTTATCCTAATATATACCCTCTAAGTAAAGGCTTATTCACACCGGAGCAGCAGCTGCGGGAACGCACAGCAATTGCTCACTAACGTTCCCCCTTTGTTCTGGGTCAGGAGGGGGCGTGGCGGTGCGGCACCACAGCCACACACCCCTCCCTGTTTTTCAAACTATGATCCGGCCCCCAGCAATGTCTGAGGGATAGTAAACTGGCCGCATGTTTAAAAAGTTTGAGGACCCCTGGTATACATCATATATGTATGCAACCCCATTTTCAAAAAAGTTGGGACCCTGTAAAATCTACATAAAAACAGAATGCAAATATTTACACATCTCATAAACCAGTATTTTATTCACAATGGAAAATAAAAAACATATCCAATGTTTAAACTAAAAAAAATTACCATTTTAGGAAAAAAATAAGAACATTTGGATTATTTGCACGAGTACGAGTACTCATGCAAATACTCTGTATCGCCGCCGATACAGATGCTTGTATCGGTATCGGAGCATCCCTAATATATACCCTCTAAGTAAAGGCTTATTCACACCGGAGCAGCAGCTGCGGGAACGCACAGCAATTGCTCACTAACGTTCCCCCTTTGTTCTGGGTCAGGAGGGGGCGTGGCGGTGCGGCACCACAGCCACACACCCCTCCCTGTTTTTCAAACTATGATCCGGCCCCCAGCAATGTCTGAGGGATAGTAAACTGGCCGCATGTTTAAAAAGTTTGAGGACCCCTGGTATACATCATATATGTATGCAACCCCATTTTCAAAAAAGTTGGGACCCTGTAAAATCTACATAAAAACAGAATGCAAATATTTACACATCTCATAAACCAGTATTTTATTCACAATGGAAAATAAAAAACATATCCAATGTTTAAACTAAAAAAAATTACCATTTTAGGAAAAAAATAAGAACATTTGGAAGTACATTTTCTCAGTTTAAACATTGGATATGTTTTCTATTTTCTATTGTCAATAAAATACGGGTTTATAAGATTTGCAAATCATTGAATTCTGTTTTTATGTAGATTTTACACAGCGCCCCAACCTTTTTGGAATTTGGATTGTATATTGGGATCAGAATATTAGTCTATCCCATAATGAAATGAAAATTTGTCCAAGCTAGGAGCAGTTTTTATACCCATTGTAGTGCTTTTTCTATGCAAAAAATATTTTTGTCCATGTAAAATAATTATTGTGTCAGACATTATAGAATATAGTGTATTTGTAATCCCTCTATTAAGGAAAAAAAATAATTAAATCCATTAAAAAAATCAAAAACTCATCCCATCTCCCCATTTCCTAATCCTTAGGTCACTTTCAGGCTTATCGCTGTCCATGCAACAGATTTGATCTCATCTTTATGTTACATGTACATTCACATGGGTTGTGGTGCCCTGAACTGCAGGTGCATTGGTTGATACCATATTGGCGTATGTACACAGGCGTTCTTTACAAACGCAGCTTTTTCTGTTTCAACATTTCTGCATATGTTTGAATGGAGAATGCAACTTTTGACAAAAATGTGCTGTGCTTGATCTGCTTTGCCTGTAGTTCACACATCTCAATTAACATGCTGTGTCCAGAGAAACGCAGTGCAATGCAAAGCAGCCTTTGAATTACTGTCACGTGTACTGCTGCATTAAAATCAATAACAATTTACAGACCTGCGTGTGATGTGCACAAAATGCATGTCAAACACAGGAAAACAATGCCCATTGACTAAAGCCCTAAATGTTTTTGGGGTGCTATGAATGGATCACAATATAACTCATATTCAGTAAGTTGACATGCACTGCAGTAATCCATCCTAAAATGCACAGTACCAGTACATATTGTTAAATGTAACCTAGAACTTCCACTTTGTCGAATCCAATCAGGGAAGGAGCTGGCGAGAGAGCTTCTTAAAAAGCAGAATTACAGAAGAGCACTAGTTTATCCAATATGAAGGTATCATGTTTTTTTTTGACAGGTTTTTAATCCCGCCTTCATAAATAATAATAGAAGATAGCTAAAATAGTCTATTGTGAATGTCTCTGGACAAATCTGGGGTTGTATATGATGCCCTCTCTATTTATTAAGTTGACTATGGCAGTTTTAACTGATCATTCTTGTTTAAAGAGACCCTGTCACCAAGTTAAAACATTGCAGGTGAAATCACATAAACAGTACCTTACAGGTACATAACATGCATAAGATACAGTTGTTAATTGTTCATATAATCTTTTGGGAAGGTTGTTGTTGAAATGTATGGTCTGGCTACAGGGTCTCTTAAAGCCCCCACACTCGTCTTCCCTAATCTCCAGCTTATGTCCTTGCGTATAATGCAGGGCTACAGGCCGTGCATTGTACTTCATGACATCACTGGG